AGAGTGCTGTGGTGTTAGCCTAGCTCACAGCAATCTCGAACTCTTGGGTTGAAGCGATCTTCCTGCCTCAGCCTCCTAAGTAGCTGGGACTATAGGTGCCCACAACACCTGGCTAATTTTTCTAGTTTTAGAAGAAACAGGGTCTCGCTCTTTCTCAGGCTGGTCTCAAAGTCCTGAGTTCAAGTGATCCTCCCGAGTTGGCCTCCCAGAGTGTTAGAATTATAGGTAGGAGCTACCACACCCAGTCTCAGTTGGCTAATTTTTCAAAGATACTATATTTCATACAATTTTAAAATCTCATAATCTTAGTGACTTTAGAAGTTATCTAATTCCACTTCCTATCCAAGTAGCCTCACTTCCAGGGGTGCGGGACATGCAATGTGAAAGGGCAGCCAGTTATTACTGTTACTTATCTCTAATTGGAAAATTCTTCTTACTTCTCCTGCCATTTCTCTCTCTCAGCCTAAGTGTGTCCACTTAAAGAACATGAATGACTTTTCTACAAAAAAGCATTCAGGTTTTTGCCAATGTCATAAAGTTTCTTCATTAAACTAAGAGCCACACTTCTAAAAAGTATTATTCATAAGCCAGGAAGATCTAAGTAATTAGATCAACAACTTGCATTATAAACCTAAATTTGTCACCAAAACTCAAGGAGAAGGCCCAGTGTGGTGGCTCACGCCTGTAATCCTAGCTCTCTGGGAGGCCTAGGTCGGTGGATTGCTTGAGCTCAGGAGTTGGAGACCAACTACCCAACATATCTCTCAGCATTAATCAAATTCATCTCCTTACATCTCTTGAATATTCCCAGTTCATCTCCTTTCTTAGTGTGATTTTTATTGCACAGCACTTAGTTTTCTTCCTAATGTGCACTATTTGGGGGCCTTGTACTGAGATTATGTACTGCCTTGATTTGAGATTATGCCTGTTTTCCCTGCCCCTTTTTGTCTTACCTCTTAATTTTTTTTTTTGCAAACTTTTTTTTAAAGACAGAGTCTATGTCACCCTCTGTAGAGTGCGGTAACATCACAGCTCATAGCAACCTCAAACTCTTGGGCTTAAGTGATTCTTTTGCCTCAGCCTCCCAGGTAGCTGGGACTACAGGTGCCTGCCACAATGCCTGGCTATTTTTTTTGTTGTAGTTGTTGTTACTGTTGTTTGGCAGGCCTGAGCTGGGTTTGAACCCGCAAGCCCTGGTGTATTTGGCTGGTGCCCTAGCTGCTGAGCCTTTTATAAACATTTTTAATGTCACAGTCCTTCTTATTCAGATATGTGTTTCTCCACTCAGAGGCTTCTCTCCTCCTCCATTACCACCCTGTGTGTTTTTAGCAGATTCTTTAAAAATATTTTTTAAATGTAATATCTGCCATGGATGTAGTTCCCTGACTTGTAGTTCTGGCCCACTTCCTCAAAGACATTTTGACTACTTTATGTCTGCCAAGGTCTCTTAAGAATCAGAATTACTGGCTTGGCACCTGTGGCTCAAGCGGCTAAGGGGCCAGCCACATACACCTAAGGTGGCGGGTTCGAATCCCCAGCCTGCGCCCGCCAAACAACAATAATGGCTGCAACCAAAAAATGGCCAGGTGTTGTGGCGGGCGCCTGTAGTCCCAGCTACTTGGGAGGCTGAGGCAGGAGACTCGCTTGAGCCCAGGAGTTGGAG